GCCAGTCTAATTATACCGTTTGTTTTGATAAGGCTGTGCAAAGAGATATCAAAACTCTTGACACGCTCTTTACACGAGAGGTCTTTGCACCTCTTGACACGTCTTGGAATCTCTAGATACGCGGAGTTCCTAGACTATCTTTGCACGTCTAGAAATTGCTTGGAATTTCACATTTGACGCAGTGTACCTATTTTATCAGGGTCCATACTGGTGATTCACCCCATTAACTCCTACCCATTTTATCAGGGTCCATACTGGTGATTCACCCCATTAACTCCTACCCATTTTATCACACTCCATACTGGTGATTCACCCCATTAGTTCCTACTCCTACTTTTGCTTCCATAAAATCCTGCTATTTAGGGGCAGAGTCCTAATTTTGTATTTATTCCACTGCAATGCTGGATATTGAAAAACAACAGGTATTGGCGCTAAAACTCAATCTCAGATTATCTTATTGTAGTTAAAAAATGAATATGATGTGTCAATTGCAGGTTTGTGACAGTTCATCAATCTGATATCCTGAAGCACAAATTGAAAAATGACATATTGTAATTGAACTGAGGCAGGTTTCTTCTCATCCGATTTTTGAAATTTTATTTTTAAAAGAAGAGAACATTAGAGATATTAAGTATCAGCATCTGCTTTGATTTTCATAATATGTACTGAAATAATGGCAAATAAGCGGAGAAAAAATGACAAAATTAAAGGAATTAAAATTGACAAAAAAGAAATAAAAGTAATTCAACATGCAGATGATACCACCCTCACATTGTCAACTAAAGAATCTATTCGCGAAGCACTTAAAGAAATAAATAATTTTTCTGAAATATCTGGACTTAATTTAAATATGGACAAAACTGAGGGAATATGGTTAGGTAACTTAAAAGGTAATGGACATCAATATGAAAATATTCATTTTGGAGAAGAACCTGTAAAATGTCTGGGAATATATATTGGAAATGACAAAACATTGTGCAAAGAAAAAAACTGGGACAACAAGATTAACAATTTTGAAAAACTTTTTGAGTCATGGAAAAAAAGAAAACTGACCCTCTTTGGCAAAGCACATGTTATTAACACTCTTGGAATTTCAAAATTAGTGTACAATTTAAGTATTCTAGATGTACCCGATGATATTGTTAAAAGAATCAATAAAATTATTTTCGGTTTTCTATGGAAAAAGGATTGGGTAAAACGAAACACTTTAATTGGAAATATACTTGATGGGGGGATTAATCTGGTAGACATTCAATGTAAAATTGATGCTTTAAAAGCTGCATGGGCACCTCGTATAAAAACAACAAACACATCGGTTAAAATAATTCCAGAATTTATCATAAATAAGCTTGGTTTTACAATAAACGATTTTTACAAAACAAATTTTGACGAAAATGTTAAGATTTTAGATCACTATAAGTTCTACAAACATGTCTTTTGTGCATACAATAGATGTAAGGAAATAGAGAAAAATAAACATCCTGGAACAGAAGTCTTATGGCTAAACAAACGGTTTTTATGTAGGAAAGAAACTTTGTACATGAAAAATTGGATAAATGCAGGTTTTATTTATGTCAAGGACTTTTTTGACGAGAGAAATAATCTCATTGATGAGAAAACTGTTTTGTTAAGACTAAAGAATAAGCAAAATTGGATGACCGAATATTTAAAAATTAGACTTGTTTTGCACAATATTAAATATGAGAGTAAACAAAGTATGAAATATGCTAACAAAAGGCATTCAAACTCTTTCCTATTTAGAAATGACAAATATGAAAACCTTGAGAAATTAAGTTCAAAGTTCTTTTATAAAATCCTATTGAAAGATAAATTTATTAGACCAAAGATGGAAGCAGATTGGACAAAATCCTTCAATATTCAGAACGATAGAATCACTTTTAGAAATATATACAAAAACAAGATGAAAGATATTGAATGCCAAAAGTTATCAGAATTTAACTTTAAACTATTACATAATTTCTTAGCCTGCGGAAAACTAGTAAATAAGTGGAATATGAATGTACCAAAAGAATGTAGTGAGTGTAATGTTGTACAAGACATTAGACATTTATTATATGATTGTGTGTTAATTAAAAATCTATGGAATATTCTAAGTGAGACACTAAAGGTGGATATTACTTGGAAAAATATACTTCTGGGGTACCAAAGCATGAACAGCAAATTAGAATTTAGAATTTTGCTTTACACAATATTGATGAAATGTATTCATGAAATTTGGACAAAAAACTCAGACAATCCAACTCAATATAAACAAGCAAATTTTAAATCGAAAATAGCATCTAAATTAAATATTTATGAACACATTTTTAAACTGCAAGGAAAAGTAAATATTGCTCAGGATTTTAAGAAAATTATAAATGCCTTTGCTGCTTACTAAGATTGAATGGATTTTCTGGACTTTTACTATTGTATAATGATCAAAATTTTGATAGAGTATATAATGCTGTGAAAATCCTATTTTACTATTGTATAAATTCTAATCCAGGATATATGTATATTTCCGTTTTGCATAGTTTTATTGATTCAAATATTGTTTGTGTTTATGTATTTTGCGTTTATGTTTTTGAATAAATATTTTTAATAAAAAAATAAAAAAAAATTGCAGGTTTGTGACAGTTCATCAATCAGATATCTTCTCATCCGATTTTTGAAATTTTATTTTTAAATGAAGAGAACATTAGAGATATTAAGTAACTTTCCAAAAATCCATCCCCTCAATTTCAGAATAATTTATCATTTTGGCTCATTCAATTAAAATTTTCTAGGTTTAACAGTTCATGTTAGCTTATCCTATTTATGACTGAATTGCTTTTGAAAGAAATTATAAGTCACACTTGTTATTTCTTAGTATTTAATTGAACCAATGATTGTGACCTAATAAATCTGATAAGGGCAGTCTAATTTCCCAGATTTCAATGACAGCATCGGAAATCATCATCCTGACAACAAAAGTTGACATTTTCTCTAATTTTTAACTTGACAGCTATTGAATATAAATTTTATTTAACAATCAAACAAAACATGTAAGTCAATGGGAGATACCAAATTTGGGATCAAGAAAAGTGTTCACACTGAGAGGTGTTTGGATTAGAGAGGTGTTCAGATATACACATTTCACTGTATATGAAATACATTTTTGACTCATATGCCTCGAGAATCACCCACTTTTATGCCCCCCTCCATCCATAACTGAGTAACTGAGGTAAATGTGAATAATAATTTATCTTGTAAAATGTAGATTTTGGAGATTAATATCCAAGCTCATTCTAGGATTTGAAAACCAAGTTCATGGCACAAAATTCTTTGGAGGATAAAATAAAATATAATATAGAGAATAAAAACCAATCCGTATGACAAAACATCTTTTGTACAGAATTGTCTATCAATTTTATAATATTTCTGTTGCATCATTAAATACAAGTTAAACGACATAAAAATGTAGATTTCAAAGATGTATAAATCCCTCTGTATGAATAAAATGTGCTTAAGATCCTCATTTGTATAATACAACTACTAATTAGGAGCTATATGATTTATGCTTAGTTGTACTATGTTCTGTCAAGAAGAACAAATAACCCTCTTTTGTGTCATCAATGCACCGATTGTTATTCAAGATTGACTATTCATTAATGTCTCGGGGTGTTTTAGTTTTATTTTATTATTGTAATTTTTGTCATCAAATGTAAATCTATTTAGCTCATATAACTAATGGCATGTAAAGCATAACAGAAGGATGTAAAAGTTGTATTTCTTACAGGGGTATGAACAAATGTAATTAGAGGGAAGGAATATGGATTTTATTCAATATGATATTTATTGAGGAATAGAGAGTATTGATGTTACTATACAAGAGGTACATGTATATGAGATAAAAAAAATATTATACAAATATTTCATACTATTGTAGTGAATACCTGTTCATCTTTCAATGATTCTGCATTGTGTATTCCCCAAAGCCCAAAGGGCAAGGGGAATACACATTGTGAAATCATTGAAAGTGCAACAGGTATTCACCGAAAATAGTATGCAATATTTGTTTTATTATTTACCACTCTCTTACTTTTGGGAATGTCTTACAAGAACATGAATTTTTAGATTTTTTTTGTAGCACTTTGACATTTACACAGGATGAAACGACACACCTGGTGAATAGGCCCCTTGAATAAGCCCTTTTTTATGTCACAGGCATGGCCGTTGAATACCTCTCCTAATTTTTATGTCTCATGTAATTTGTAGAACAATGAGAGAGTAGAGATATGACAGTGATATCATAAGATATTTTATCCCATGGGATATAATTGGTATCTAAAACCTCTCAGAATGACTTCAATTTTTTAAAGTCATAATGTAACCATTAATTGCCCTGTTTCATATCATTTTCAATTAGGAAGTGATAAGAGGTAAACCACAAGGTGATGAATAAACCACAAAGTAATAAATAAACCATGTGACTGAACTGTGTTCATTTTGGTGATTAGTATGAAATTTCACAATCCTCATAATCACATAATGATGTCATCTCGATAAACCATGACATCTATTTCCGACTGATGTATATCAGAATAACAAAGTATAGCACGTATATTATTAGATGTGAGTGGAGTTTTGCCTTTGTTCCTTGCTATTTCACTTTGTCCCTTCTTTAGTGTCATTATTTTCACTTGACTCCCACCCTTCTTTGGTGTCATTATTTTCACTTTGATTCCTCTTTGGTGTCATTATTTTCACTTTGACTCTGAACCTTTTTGACAAGGTGGCTGTCCTGTAAGAAGGTTTTTGAAGAAGGGAGGTTTATCTGAAACATACACTTGATCTGTGTACCACTCTAATTTATTTATTCTTTAATTACTTTACAATCAAATATGCCCACTGTCCATATTGTTATGGCCACCATTTATGTGATTGGCATTTGACAGTGGATAGTTGGCATCTGTGACAAATTGTTACAATTTGTAACCCTTTGTCTTTTCTACTTCCAGGTCTCGTGATGCCAATAACAGTGACTTTGTTCATGGATTAGCGTGGTGTCCTAAGTCGAACAAACTTTATACATGTGGATGGGATTTCAACGTTACCTCATTAGACATTGCCAAAAGTGACATTCAAAAAAGTCAAATGAAAAATAAACTGAATGGTGCTGCCATCTCTGGGGAATCTCAGCCTTTGGAAAATCACACAAAAGATGGAGACACTGCCATGGAAGTAAATGGTGATGTAGCGCCATCTACCTGAACAAAAACTGGTGCATCTATCTCTAGAGATTTAGCATGTGAATTCCAAGGAAAATTGTAGCTGGATATTCCAAACATTTGTCAGACTTAGGCTATGCTTTTGAAGCAATAAAATATATTAATCTAAGATAGCTATTGCTCATATGATTTGGGAATAAACATAATCTGTTCCATTCTTGTATTAGATGGTCATTTCATTGTTGGATTGACTCCAGATTTTGTGAAATTACCTCCAGATTTTGTGAAATCACTCCAGATTTTGTGGGATTGCATTCAGGCTTTATGAAACTGTTTATATTGCATCAGGATTTTTGGGATTGTGACCAGAATTTGTGGGATTGTAGTTCTCTGTTACGAGTGAGATTGAATCCAGATTTAATTGGACTGTTTCTGGTATAAGTGAGATTGCCTCTAAATTTTCTGAGACTGATTCTAAAATTAGTTACAGTGCCTCCAGATTTTTTATATTGACTCAAGCATTTATGGGAGAACCTCTAAACTTTTTTGGGTCATTTAGACTTAATTCAGAATGTGTTGGATTTCCTGTCGATTATGCGTGTTACGTTCGAAAATAACAGAAAGTAAAAACAGCAATTAAAATATGATAACAATATATTTATATTTTGAAAACTAAATAATATAACAATAATATAAAGGAGGTTTAATACTTAAGTGATGTCCAATCAATGATACGGCTTATTCTTGATGTCGATAAATGTCGTTGACGATCCTTGAGAAAGTTCCAGATCACGAAATGTTTCAATAATCGTTAATAGTTCTCCAATGTTTGTAATAATCCAATAATGTTTGTTGTAATCCTATAATGTTTGTATCCAATAATGTTTGATGATAATCCACAAATGTTTGATGATAATCCACAAATGTTTATGATAATCCACGAATGTATATGATAATCCGTATATAGTGTGTGTTGTAATATATGTCCATATAAAGTCCTCAGGTTGTGTGTTTGTAGTGTTATAAATGTTCCCACAGTAATTATCTGCTAAGAAGATCTGCTATTACAGAGTAGATGTCCAGTTATGATGACTTAATTTATCTGCTAAGAAGATGTCCTTTTGATCAACTTTGAAATTCTGCTTTATTTAGTTCCCTTGAGATGTCCAGTTATGATTACTTAATTATCTGCTAATGAGAGTCACTGTGCTGTTCTTTTTATAATGTGAAAGAATGATCCAGAAACGAATCTTCTGGAACTACATCTTGATTGGACATCTTTAGTGACATGATTAAATTTTAATGAATGGTTATAATTTCTAGAACTATCTGGATGGTCAAGGGTTAATGAGTCATTCAGTTCAGTTTTGTTTACAAGATACAGTGTATAATGTCATTGTGACCTTGACCTAAGATCTCTAATAAAGAATAGCTCAACATATACAGCAAGCATACATTACAAATTAAACTATAGGTGAATATAGTAGAATATAATAAACATGTAGCTCACTACTGTAACACCTCCCTCCTTAAAAGAAAAGTTTTGAATGCAAATGAAAAACTTTTACAATAATATCTCGAGTAGCGAGCGTTACAATTTCTAAAAGTGAGGTTGAGACTTACATGATATTAACTTTACAATAGTCCTTTTATATGCAGTATGTTTACAAATAATATAATACTTTCTATAGTTACAGTGTGAGTACAATCTAATAACATATAATGTTTTGTAATAATGTATTACAATAGTATCATACTACAATAGTATCAAACTAAGTTATGCATCAAGTCATAAATACAATACATGCAATAGATCATATAACTTGTACAATAGCAACAATTTTGAGTCTGACAAATACTAAACTAGTACAATGTTTTGAATTATCACATGATCTTATGTAAGTATTTCTAATAGTACAATCTCGTATTATCTAGTGATCTTGTGACACTATTTAATGATCACCTGTGATGCTCACATAATCTTAATACAATCTTATAGTTCATATAAAATCAATTTCACTATTTAGGCAAATGTTTTTATATATTGTTAAAATAAAGTGACAGTTATCACAAATCTCTAATTTGCCTACCATATATATAATCTTCATGAGTTAATCATTATAATTTACAATATCTGACTCTTGAATAACATACATGTATAGTTGTCATTTACATACAAGTTTGGCCTATGAGCTAAGAGCACAAGCTCATGTTGAGTAAAGAAATTTTATCACGCTCAACATACTTTTTCATCATGTGTAGCTCTCTACACCTCACAGGGGTAGTTCTATCAATGCAAATGAAATCATTCAGCACTGAGTCAGATTGTAAGTCAGATATGAGCTCCTTTGGTAGCTCCACTAATGTGAAATTATTGATTTGTGATTTCACAATATACTTGGTTTTGTTATTCCCAAGCATAAGGAGTGATTTTATTTCTAGAAACTGTGTGGCCATAGACAGAATAGTGAGCAGATATTGATTATCAGATTTTGTTTTTGGTAGTGGACCAACACAGTCAATAAGAACCTTACTAAATGGTTCATCAAATGCAGGTATAAGTTGTAAAGGAGTAATTGAGATTTTCTGGTTAGGTTTCCCTACCATTTGACATGTATGACAAGACCTACAATACTCTTGGACATCTTGTTTTAATTTGGGCCAAAAGAAATGATTGAGTATTTTATGGTATGTTTTAGTTACTCCTAAATGACCTGCCATGGGAGAATCATGAGCTAGACTCAAGATTTCCTTATGATACGATTTTGGGACAACAATTTGATGCACAATTGCCCAATCGTCTTCAGGGGAAGCTTCAGGAGGTCTCCACTTTCGCATTAATATGCCATCCTTTTTGCAGAAACAAACAGGGACCTTGTCAGCTTCATCAATAGTAAGACATCTTTTATGAAGATCAATGAGTGATGGATCATGCTCTTGTTCATAAATTAACATGTGTTTAGAATGAGGATCATTTTTCAAAGAATCACTATCAGAAATAGAGGATGAAACCTCAGAACTAGAAGAGGATGAGACCTCAGAACAAGGAGGGGATGAAACCTCATGAACACTAGCAGAAGAAGATGAAACTTCATCAGGACTAGCAAGAGCGGGCGAAACCGCATTAAAATAGTGATCCTGCTCAGAAGGTGAATCACCCCTGGCAATAGGCTTTTTCAATGAAGAATATGCCTCATTAGATCGCTGCTTGGCTTGAACAATAGACTGTTTCAATGAAGAATTTGCCTTTAAAATAGGATAAGGACCATCTTTAACAAGTGGTGAGTGACATTCATCATCAAACAAGGAGCTTAAAAACCCACTATCAAAGTCATCTCCCACAGATGAATCCCCGCTATTAGCTAACTTTTTAGCCATAGCCCTAGTAACAGCACAAGCAGGATATATATCAGAGTCCTTTTGGACAGAATCCTCAATAGAACAAGGCTGATCTGAAACAATGGGGTCTAACGATACCTTACCCCCAGCTAAATCATTGCCTAAAAGCAATGCGACTCCTTCAACAGGAAGTTGTGGCCTAACACCAACAATAACTGGCCCTTTGACTAACTCTGATGTGATATGAATACGATGGAGGGGAACTTTAGTAAAACCTAATTCAATGCCTTGCATCAAAATATGGGTACCTGTGAATGACTCCTCAGATAAAGGAAGGACACCTTCTAACAACAAAGTCTGAGATGCACCCGTGTCTCTAAGAATCTTAATTGGCTTTGAATTGGTATCATCACTTGACAGTGACACAGATCCTTCCGACATGAAAGGCTTATAATCCTCCATAATATCACTATGAGTAGATTTCTCAGTATGAGTATATGAATCCCAAACAATGGGCTTTCTTGAAATGGGAACTGTAGCACAACCATTTGAATGAGCAGAACCAGACATCTCTCTTCTATTCTTAATCCTATAGCATTCAGAAATAAGATGACCAGGCTTTTTACAATAATTACAGGTGACATTTGATTTTGGACCTGAAGAATTTGATTGATCTGATTTTAAGCTAGAACTCTGTGATGAATGAGACTGGTCTTTTGCTTTGTTTGATGTATTAGATGATGAGGACTGATTTGATTTTGTATCATATGAAGGTTTGTTACCTTGATAACCTCTATAGTTAGGATTGCCCTTGATAAAACTACCCTTATGAGTAAGAGCATAATCATCAGACAGGGTGGCAGCTTGACTTAAGGTTTCTACCTTGTGTTCATCTAAGTAAGTTCTAATGTGATATTGAACACAGTTTTTAAATTGTTCTATTAGCATAAGCTCTCTGAGCTTTTTAAACTCTTCGGATACATCTTTAGAGACAAGCCACCTGTCAAAAAGCTGCTCTTGCTCTCGAGCAAACTCAACATGGGTTTGGTCACTCTGTTTGTGGGCATTTCTAAATTTTTGTCTGTAAGCTTCTGGCACTAGTTCATAAGCTTTAAGAATTGCATTTTTAACTAGGTCATAATCAGAGCATATTTCTCCTGAGAGAGAGGCAAATATTTCACTTGCTTTACCAATGAATACACTCTGGAGCATAACTGGCCATGCAGATTTAGGCCAGTCTAAGCTCTGAGCAACTTTTTCAAAATGTGTAAAGTATTTATCAACATTTTTCTCTTGAAATTTAGGTACAAATTTGAGAAATTTTGAAGCATCAAATCTATTTTCAAAATGTTGATGCATAGTAGCATGTTCCTCAGATTTGGATTGAGCTTCTATCTCAAGACGTTTTAATTCAATTTCTCTCTGAATTTCTTGTTCTCTCATTTGTCTTTCATTTTCTCTTTTTTCTCTTTCATTTTGCATTTCTAACTCTTTTTCTCTCAATTCTCTAATTTCTCTTTCTTTTTGAATTTCTAACTCTTTCACTCTCAATTCTTTTTCATTTTGCAACTCTTTTTCTCTCAATTCCCTAATTTCTCTTTCTTTTTGAATTTCTAACTCTTTCTCTCTCAATTCAAGTTCTTTAAGCCTAGTAGGATCAGTATGCTCGACATGCTGGGCTGGCTCCTCAGGCAGAAGTGATTCTGCGACCAAATATTGAAGTACAAAGTTTTTAATTGTACCTTTATTGTATGAGCTTTTGACTGACAGGCCAACATGTTTCGCAATTGCCAGAAGTTCAGTTTTCTTTAAATCATCAAATTCCTCCAAAGAGGGCGCTTCTAAGAATGTCTCAACCTCAAAACTCATTTTCAGTTAATTGCTGTCTTCACAACAATATAAATTCACAATTTTCGAATTTTGAAATATTTGAATTTTAGCTTGTTGTAGTTGGATCCCGGACGAGCCCCCAATTTCTGTTACGTTCGAAAATAACAGAAAGTAAAAACAGCAATTAAAATATGATAACAATATATTTATATTTTGAAAACTAAATAATATAACAATAATATAAAGGAGGTTTAATACTTAAGTGATGTCCAATCAATGATACGGCTTATTCTTGATGTCGATAAATGTCGTTGACGATCCTTGAGAAAGTTCCAGATCACGAAATGTTTCAATAATCGTTAATAGTTCTCCAATGTTTGTAATAATCCAATAATGTTTGTTGTAATCCTATAATGTTTGTATCCAATAATGTTTGATGATAATCCACAAATGTTTGATGATAATCCACAAATGTTTATGATAATCCACGAATGTATATGATAATCCGTATATAGTGTGTGTTGTAATATATGTCCATATAAAGTCCTCAGGTTGTGTGTTTGTAGTGTTATAAATGTTCCCACAGTAATTATCTGCTAAGAAGATCTGCTATTACAGAGTAGATGTCCAGTTATGATGACTTAATTTATCTGCTAAGAAGATGTCCTTTTGATCAACTTTGAAATTCTGCTTTATTTAGTTCCCTTGAGATGTCCAGTTATGATTACTTAATTATCTGCTAATGAGAGTCACTGTGCTGTTCTTTTTATAATGTGAAAGAATGATCCAGAAACGAATCTTCTGGAACTACATCTTGATTGGACATCTTTAGTGACATGATTAAATTTTAATGAATGGTTATAATTTCTAGAACTATCTGGATGGTCAAGGGTTAATGAGTCATTCAGTTCAGTTTTGTTTACAAGATACAGTGTATAATGTCATTGTGACCTTGACCTAAGATCTCTAATAAAGAATAGCTCAACATATACAGCAAGCATACATTACAAATTAAACTATAGGTGAATATAGTAGAATATAATAAACATGTAGCTCACTACTGTAACATGCGGGATGTGCATTGTATTAAACGTGAGGCATCTCTATTAAGTAAGTTACCCGAGATGTATTCCATTTTTGTGACTCACTTATACTTATTCAGGTTAGATCCTCATTAAAGAGTAAAGAGTATAAGTTAAAGTTTAACTAATGTTTATACATATAGCATTCATTTCTTAAGTAATTATGAGAAAGGGGAAACTTTAAGATCAAATTGAAAGTAGTCATTTGTTACACATTATAGAATTGGAACTATTGTTACATTACACCAAGAACTGATTTTCGTTTAAGAAATGTGTCTAAAATAGATAAGTTTGTGTTTAGTTATAAATGATGTTTTATAATAAGTACATGTGGGCGCATGAAATGTAATAACGCATTAAGAAGACTTTAGAAGTAAAGTAAAAATGAAAATCAAATCTACATACTTAGTCTAACTGTACTGTAATAAGGGAGTAATGAATGTATCATCTAAATGTCTTCCCCCTTTAGGGAACACTGTTACAGTCAGTCGCCTTCTTGATTGAAAACAGAAAGGTTTGATGATTATCTATATTCTCTTTAGTATTAATCTTGCTCAGGTGAAAGTTTTAATTTTTGCTAAAGATTCAAGATTCTCAAGTAATTTCCTTTAAATTAATCATTGTACGTTTATCACAGGGAAACAACTACTGTGCAATGCTTAGTTTACAACAGTTGAACTTTGTCATTGGGTAATTTGATCATTCTCATAACATCAGAGAATTAAGCTTCAACGTAATTTCCAACTTTTAGAATTTTTGTTAAAGATTAATGGAGTTCTTTAAACAATCATTACTAGAACATAGAAATATCATGAGGATTAATCAAAATCATTTTCATTCAAGCATTCACCATTTTGATTTTCATACACAGACAAAATAATTTTATTCAACAATTATTTAAAAGCCAACATGCTATGGATTTTATTGATGTGTACACTTAATTTCACTGTTCAATCTCAAGTAAGAGTTAATTGCCTTACTTATTAGGGGAACATCCCTTTAATTATTTACTGACAGAAACCTTGGCACAAATCATTGTAAAACCAATGTTACTATTTAACTTCAATTTAGGAAGAAATGCATGTTTAGATGTATTAACACTGCCCAGTAATTAAGCGTTTATTAATAATTCATTGTACAGCTACTGCACATTTGACATTATTTTGTTCTTCATAGTGCGTTCCTTTATTTTCATGGTTTACATGTTTCTCAATAAAGGTTACAATTGCAATTGTACTAAACTAATTGTTATCAACTTGGTAGACATTTTGTTTTAATTAAAGTTGCACCTAAAATGTACAATATTGTCACGGAATATGACAAAATTTATGAACGTCAAAATAAGTATTTTTAAATAAGGAATCACCATGTTAGTCCACCAGATGGTGCAATATTCGATTGTTAAGTAGGTTGCTGTTCCCTGTACAGTACGTCTTGTTATAAATATTGACTTGAAGATTTTTTGTTCTTAACATGAGCTGAATCAACACGTTTAACAAAATAATCTTTGATTTACATTGTCTCACTTAACCATGAAGTTACATCACTTCTGAATATGGATGAGGAGATTGTACCTGCATCGTTTAATTTCCTGTAACTGAAAATAAAAGCAATAGATACTTCAATATCTTGTTTTCTATGGACATGATACTCTCCACATAATATACTTCTGTACGTCATTAAGGATGGCTATGGTCACAAACAATAATTCACTGGATAAAAATCTTTGAAATCCAATTGCTGAAAAGCGGAAATACGGCGACGTAGAAATGTTGTTGGTCACATCAATATTCTTCAATTGTTTAATTTGTGGATAGGTAATCATGAGATGTTAGCAACTTGATATGTCATTACTTTAGTTTTATATTCAAATACATCTGATGTGGCCATGTGATTTATGCTTTCCTTTACCACTAAAACTCAATTTAAGAGTAAAATATCACCAAAAGGTAATTTTCAGGATGTTTAAAACAAGGTATTTAGAGTTATCTAGAAATACCTGCCATATACATTACATATTTTGTTAGATATTGGAATTTGTCAAACTTGCTTAACATTTGATGACAATTTGTATAATTTACAATTAGTATATTCTTTCTATTAAAGAGCTTCCAGCTGTAATTCTAATTTTTGATAACCCTAAAATATTTTTATTCATAATGATTTGTCATTTACTGCAATCGGTAGACTTGAATATCAACCATTTCTGAAAATATCATAGTTTGAAAAGAAATCCTTACCCAGTTTGACAAGTTTCAACATTGAAAAAACACTCACATATTCTTAATTTAAAACAGCAGTTAATTACGTTTCTAGGTAATCACGAAATCTACATGAATTTTCCATGTAGACCCCACACACTGTCTGTAAAATTTCTTACAAAAACTATAGCAATGGTGTTCTTTCGACACTTATCTATTAATCTAGACAATGTTTTGTTTAAAGGGGAATCAGATCCATTTGGAGTGATAAACTTGCAAGCAACATGTACTGTTGATCTTCCAATATATATTCTTTACAATCTCAAATATATAATATTTCCCATAAGATCCATGATATGTTATAAACTGGTGAAGTTATTATTGAAAGTGCCAAAATGGGGAAATGTTTAGATTCTGCCAAATAATAAAATGGTAAACATATAATAAAAAAATCAATGTATTGTAAAACTCTTTAGTTTTCCCCAATTACAGTATATAATTTGGGTACTTTTATTAAATAGGGATGACAGAGATTGATATGTTAACACTAAAATTGAAACAATTTTTGTCAAGAGTACTCACCTTACCATTACCTTGATCTTGCTAGATCTGATTCTGTCTTTAAAGGTATATGCACAAGTGCCAAAGGACTAAAGTGTTGCAAATGTGAAACAGTGAAAAATGAAACATCAAAGGGTACAACCAGTTATAAGGAAAACAAACCCAAATATCCCACATTATGATCTAACATGTAAAGAAACCATTCAGTAACCATTATAACAATCCAAGACCACAAGGCCGCCGTGGTACATTTCATTTACACTGAAGACCATTACAGTACATGTTGAAGAAGTACAAGTATAAATTAGAAGCAATAACCAAAACTTGTGGCATTAAAAATAGTTGTAGATATGTGTATTCATACAAGAGAGAAAGATGTGGGACCGGAAAAATCCAATCTCGAAGTCCAAAGTGTATCAGAGGGTCAACATCCAACATATCGCTTCATTCATGTATTGCATATCACAATATCAATGCAATATGAAACAGATATCCTGTAAGATTTTGGATTCCTGGGTTGTTTGTAGCTTTGTTCCTTCAGTAAGAGACTTTCTATCTGTCCCCCTAAATAAAGGTTTCCTTTTAGTCCCCATCTCGATGTGCAACCAGCTTCTGAATTTCTGACTGATCTTGGATCCGCCACTGACCATATATAACTTACTACAATTAATTATACAGCCTCTTCAATGTTCCAGTGGGTGGTTATAGTTTAATTCAAAATAAAGCAAACAGAAATTGAATTAACAATGCATAGAATAAGCAGGCATTCACTCAATATTCCCAACTGTATAGGAATGCCAGAAAGTCAGACAGTTCATTCTGATTCAAGTGAGAAATTGGGAGAAATTAGCAAGTTGAGAGATTAATTCAAGGCACTGGTACATCCTTGCTGCAAGGGTATTTTACAAGTATATATTTAAGCATAAATGAAGTCCTTTGAAGAAGGATGCACTGGTAATGTGAATGCATTATGATTTTTACATTGGTGTTTGTGTATGTCGGGATTACAAGCTGTTACTTCACATTCCCCTCTGTTGGGTCATGGGTCAAATGCAAAAATGTCAAAGGATAGTCCATAGTCCTTCACCTGTTAGTGATAGTAATAGCAAATCACCATAGCTCTCATCCTCAGGGTGATATAGTAATTATTATTTAAAGGTTTTAATAATACAAAATTACCTTAGCCATGTTAGCTCTCCCTCTGAAGGTAATATCAACAAATATTAGCAACAGGTAGCCTACAATAATATGATATATAATAAGGGACCATGTCAACAATATTTAACATTTTGTTTTTATTAATGTCTCTATCAGAAGTCTCCAACTTTTCTGTGGACATTGTTTGGCAGTTGGTGTTTGGTGCATGGCAGTCGTCATCTTTAACAAATGGCAGGTGGTGACATTTTGCATGTTACTGTCTTGTGCAAGTACGTATACCTTGATTTTTAAATGCAGTCCAGTCAGAAATGATATATACTAAATTTTGGAACATATTGGTATGGTCCCTGATTCATATCAAGTCAATGATTGTTATTTTCTTTTAAAACATTATAGGCTCAACGACAGCATTCAACATTCTCGGAATCATTATTTCCGTCCAATTTACTATAAATAAGCCAAAGTGCTGAGGTAAAATATAACTCAGAATAAAGTCAGGTTTAAAAATGATAAATTGAGCTCAGTGGATCAAAAGGTCCGGAGGTGAATATATTTTCCGACAGTCTCACATTGGCCTAAGCATTAATCAAAAAACCTTACATAACTGTGTTTCATAACCAAGCAAAGGATTGGTATCGTTATGGTGAACTGAATTCAACAATGTTTTTCTCCTAAACCAAATATTGAAAACATTCTGTAAAAACACGGTCCTTTATGTAATGCTGACTGATTGCTAACAATTTAATGCGAAAATTATTTATATACATTTTATCTAATTAACTGTTTTTGTTAAAACTTTTTGTTATTTAGTACAATTGTTTTTCGTTCCTTTCTACCAATTCTTGAGAATGAAATAAAATATCTTTCCGAACATTTTTTTAGACCTCTCAGTATTAATAGTTGTACAAAGAAAATTTGATTGATTTTACAAAAAGTATTCAAAAATTAAAACATTTTAGATAAAGTGGAAAACAATAGATATGACATTTAGAAATTGTTTGTCCTTTGTTCCATATTTGCAATGGCGTCAAAAAGATGACGCAAGTCAGATTTCACATGAGTTTATAAATTCTGTCCTGTGCAGTCAACCATGGAAGGATTTTAAATCTGCGTGTGCCAAATTAATCGAGGGATAAATGCCTAAAAATTTATAGTTTTGTTCTTGTTACATTTTTGAGAAACTCTGTGATATATTACAACTACCCTGTAGCTAAAATTGCCGTGCATTGTCTAGAAATCCTTCAACACGTGCTGGTCAGATGCCGGTCATATGGTATCGATGATAGCGTAACATGATGAGACAGATTTGCTTTTTTTCAATACCCATTTAGCAAAACATGTCAGTCACGTAGAACATTATCTGTCACGGGATTAAAATGTTTACCTTAATCAGATAATGTTTCCTGTTATATGTGTTTGTAACCGCCACAAAAATTACTTTTTTTCAAACATATGTCAATTATAAGTGTCAACTAGAAAACACCAACTCCACGGAGTAGCAAATCCCACCCATATAAGATTTGAATCAAAACCGTCAACTGGTATTTGAGTCATCAAAGATTGTGTTCCTTTACGCAAAATGGTGGCCATTTTGAAATCGGGAGCCATCTTCAAAAGCACATAAAATTTGAACCAAATCCGTCAAGCTGTATTTGAAGTATCATTTACGAAAAACGGCGGCCATTTTGAATTGAGTGGCCTTATTGAAATTCGTTATTGAGCAGAGGTCCTACAACCATAAGGCATAAGTCTATAAACTTGAACCAAATTTGTCAGGGGATATTTGAGTTATTGCCCGGACACACGAACAAAGGGACGGACGGCTTTTCTTTATCCCTACGAACTTCGATAATTATATCTCTTTAGTGATAGTTATTAACAAAAATAATTTTCCACTATACCAATGGCATTAAGATTGAAATACGATATCTGTATTTCAAAAGCATGTTGATGTACAGTATAAAGATCAGTGACAAATATGTAGTTGTATTTTAAGCCCCTTTGTTCCAAGAAGGTTATAGGGAACATCTCCATCTGTCGTTTCAACATGGCAGCCATTTTATGTAGTGTTAATTTTACAGCCAGATCTGAAAATTGGAGGCCATTTAGAACCAGTGTCCACCATTTTACGTTTTTGCTAAAAAGCTCCTGTTACCACTTGTGTTAAATATTTCAAGCTCTACATTTCATATTTTACCCTTCATTTTCCACATTGCTAGATTTACCCCTCATTTTCCTTATTTCATATTTTTACCCCTCTTATTCCATATTTCATATTTTAACCCTTGTAATCATTTTGTAGCCTGTTACTTTTATCTTTTATTTTATTTACAACCTTCATTAAATTACAATAATTTTATACTGAATTAATTACATTGGACATCCTTTGATTCCAAACTACAACGCTCTCAATATTTTAGGGTCCTTGGTATGTTCTATTAGATGTAAAGTGTGTATTTGTCAGTAACACTCAGTATCCATGTAATGTATTAAATGTAAAGTGTGCAGGCACATGTTCATTTCGCACAGATGTGTTTAATAGCCCGGTAATATGTGGGCCCTTGGAGGTCTTTTCTCTTAGCCTAAGTTCATAGGATGGCTCAAGGTTACTCATCAATTGCAATTGCATTTTGTTGATTTTTTCAATTTGCACCATAACTTTGGAATAATCATTTGCTATAAATATGAAAGCTTAAAAATATCATAAAGTAGATTGCTCATATTTTAAAAAGTATGTTTTTATTTTATTTAAGTCGAAGAAACTTTAGTAATAATCGGATATATCATATTTTTGATTTTATACTTTGATTTTCAAAGCGTATTATGTTTATTATTGTCAAACCAAAGGTATTAAGATTTAGATCTCAGTCATTATAATGCGTTTCAGATTGGTCCATGAAGTCGCTGTTTTAAGTGTTTTTCACTATCTTTTTGCTTCTAATTTGAAACATCGAAACCAATCGTTTAATTGCTGGGAATAATCCAATCAAAAAATAATAAATTCACATAGATGCTTGGATAACTCATCTATTTCATCAGTCCAATATCGGATCCCATAAGATATTCGAATTCCTTCCACAGATCGGGATCAGATTTATTTAAGTAAAAGATCGTCTTAATTCATAAGAAGTATCCCTTATTCTCCCATTGTCCGCTTTCTGAGTCAGATTTCAGGAATTACGAGCACATTAAATCTAATGAAATAACCCGCGAAATCTTTATTTTTTCATAGTGTTGATATTATGGAATCAGATTTCACTTCTGGCTAATGCATTGTTCTGTAGAAAAGCCCTATTCTTATTATGAAAAATAGTGTTTCGCGTTTCAGTCAGGGTCATTTGAAGCTCTCAATTTGTGACTATTAGGCCAAGAACTTGAAAATAAAACTTGCTTTGAATGCAATTAAGGCATACTTTGTAGAGATAGGAATAAAAGTAATATTATTGATATGTATATATATTTTTTTATTGATATCCAATCTAAAGATTCCTTGGCTATCTGCGTTCACTGGTGGACAAGAGGGTGGGGGGGGGGGGGTTGAAAGATGGACCTCTGGATTGGCGTTTATATTAAAAAATGACCCCAATTTGTTTTAAATGGATTTTAAACCCCCCCCCCCCTTTGCTTTCTAGTCAATTTTCATGTCTGTCTCGAAAATCTGCTCTCGGAATTAGGATGATAAAAATGGTGGATAGCTTCAGACTACATGATTTTTATACTTAATGATGGAAGCTGAGTCCGTCTCTTTGTTCGATGTGTCTAATTGTTAATTGTTCTATATTTGTAGTTTGTGGAAGTAGAATGGTGTATGGAAATCTATTTTTGCCAATTAATGTATTTCCATTATATTATGTCATGCGTTTCCTAATATGGTCATTTACTGAACTATTCACAGAATAGAATCACCATTTTCTCTGCGGGCATATTAATGTACACCATTGGAAATATTTAAAGACTAAATTGATTCAAACAAGCATTCAAACTAAATCGTACTTGTGTGGATTTCGACATTGAAATTTTTTATGGTCAAGCAACGTGAATCCAAATTATGGACATGTACAGCACATCCATAATTGTATAACTAGTATATCTATATACAGGTGTATCCCTAGTAGGTCTACATTCTCCGCCTAATTTGAAGTCCCCCGTAATAGCTCTATGTCCCATATTGTCATACCAGTCAAACCAAGCATGTACAGTTTATGTAGAGTTAAAAACAAGCTGGTACATTGTAGGAAAATGACTAGAATACCATGTAGAGTATAAAACCAAAGTGTAAACATGAGTTGGTATATTATTACTCTAGTAACCTCCTCTCAACCCCATTTTGGACACTCGGGAACAGCGCAGACTTTCGGGGCAAAATGTTGAACAGGATTTTATTGGCTGCTTGTATTGTAGTATCAGCATATGGATTCGCCGTTGAAAAAGGTAAAGAAACGAAACAATTCAACATCTAAATGTTGTTTTAAGTAATAATGATTTATGATTATTTTACTTTTATTTATTTTTTGCAGTATGATATATCTTTTTTAACAATACTGTAACAGAAATTCAAATTCATTTGTTAAAGTGTAGCAATGTGTTAAGGTATTCACTGAACACAGTTGTACAGTTTTTATGGAGTTCATCTCTTAATATATTCGAAGATATTCAGTATTTGCAAAAGTTTTAACTAAGTACCAACGCACGTGTGGTGAACAAATATTTTATTATGATTTATAGTTTTTACCTAATTAATGACAAATTATATTATTTTAGCTTTTTAGTTTTAATTTAATATGTTTCAAAGATCATTTTACATTTCTTACATCTTTTCTTCATTAGCCAGATTTACAGTATTTACCCTATCTATCCCCATTCTCCAGATTACTCATTGTTCTATGTCCACCTTTGTCAACGTTAATATATTAATTAGTCAGATTACGCGTTCTACTCTGCCAACGTTAATATATTAATTAGTCAGATTACGCGTTCTACTCTGTCAACGTTAATATATTAATTAGTCAGATTACGCGTTCTACTCTGCCAACGTTAATATATTAATTAGTCAGATTACGCGTTCTACTCTGCCAACGTTAATATATTAATTAGTCAGATTACGCGTTCTACTCTGTCAACGTTAATATATTAATTAGTCAGATTACGCGTTCTACTCTGTCAACGTTAATATATTAATTAGTCAGATTACGCGTTCTACTCTGCCAACGTTAATATATTAATTAGTCAGATTACGCGTTCTACTCTGTCAACGTTAATATATTAATTAGTCAGATTACGCGTTCTACTCTGTCAACGTTAATATATTAATTAGTCAGATTACGCGTTCTACTCTGTCAACGTTAATATATTAATTAGTCAGATTACGCGTTCTACTCTGTCAACGTTAATATATTAATTAGTCAGATTACGCGTTCTACTCTGCCAACGTTAATATATTAATTAGTCAGATTACGCGTTCTACTCTGTCAACGTTAATATATTAATTAGTCAGATTATGCGTTCTACTCTGCCAACGTTAATATATTAATTAGTCAGATTACGCGTTCTACTCTGTCAACGTTAATATATTAATTAGTCAGATTACGCGTTCTACTCTGTCAACGTTAATATATTAATTAGTCAGATTACGCGTTCTACTCTGCCAACGTTAATATATTAATTAGTCAGATTACGCGTTCTACTCTGTCAACGTTAATATATTAATTAGTCAGATTACGCGTTCTACTCTGCCAACGTTAATATATTAATAATTAGTCAGATTACGTGTTCTACTCTGCCAACGTTAATATATTAATAATTAGTCAGATTACGCGTTCTACTCTGCCAACGTTAATATATTAATTAGTCAGATTACGCGCACTACTCTGTCAACGTTAATATATTAATTAGTCAGATTACGCGTTCTACTCTGTCAACGTTATTATATTAATTAGTCAGATTACGCGTTCTACTCTGCCAACGTTAATATATTAATTAGTCAGATTACGCGTTCTACTCTGCCAACGTTAATATATTAATAATTAGTCAGATTACGCGTTCTACTCTGCCAACGTTAATATATTAATTAGTCAGATTACGCGCACTACTCTGTCAACGTTAATATATTAATTAGTCAGATTACGCGTTCTACTCTGTCAACGTTATTATATTAATTAGTCAGATTACGCGTTCTACTCTGCCAACGTTAATATATTAATAATTAGTCAGATTACGCGTTCTACTCTGCCAACGTTAATATATTAATAATTAGTCAGATTACGCGTTCTACTCTGCCAACGTTAATACATTAATTAGTCAGATTACGCGTTCTACTCTGCCAACGTTAATACATTAATTAGTCAGATTACGCGTTCTACTCTGTCAACGTTTATATATTAATTAGTCAGATTACACGTTCTACTCTGCCAACGTTTATATATTAATTAGTCAGATTACGCGTTCTACTCTGTCAACGTTTATATATTAATTAGTCAGATTACGCGTTCTACTCTGCCAACGTTAATATATTAATTAGTCAGATTACGCGTTCTACTCTGTCAACGTTAATATATTAATTAGTCAGATTACGCGTTCTACTCTGTCAACGTTTATATATTAATTAGTCAGATTACACGTTCTACTCTGCCAACGTTTATATATTAATTAGTCAGATTACGCGTTCTACTCTGTCAACGTTAATATATTAATTAGTCAGATTACGCGTTCTACTCTGTCAACGTTAATATATTAATTAGTCAGATTACGCGTTCTACTCTGTCAACGTTTATATATTAATTAGTCAGATTACGCGTTCTACTCTGTCAACGTTAATATATTAATTAGTCAGATTACGCGTTCTACTCTGTCAACGTTAATATATTAATTAGTCAGATTACGCGTTCTACTCTGTCAACGTTTATATATTAATTAGTCAGATTACACGTTCTACTCTGCCAACGTTTATATATTAATTAGTCAGATTACGCGTTCTACTCTGTCAACGTTTATATATTAATTAGTCAGATTACGCGTTCTACTCTGTCAACGTTAATATATTAATTATTGAGATTACGCATTCTACTCTGTCAACGTTTATATATTAATTAGTCAGATTACACGTTCTACTCTGCCAACGTTTATATATTAATTAGTCAGATTACGCGTTCTACTCTGCCTACGTTTATATATTAATTAGTCAGATTACACGTTCTACTCTGCCAACGTTTATATATTAATTAGTCAGATTACGCGTTCTACTCTGTCAACGTTAATATATTAATTAGTCAGATTACACGTTCTACTCTGTCAACGTTAATATATTAATTAGTCAGATTACGCGTTCTACTCTGTCAACGTTAATATACTAATTAGTCAGATTACGCGTTCTACTCTGCCAACGTTAATATATTAATTAGTCAGATTACGCGTTCTACTCTGTCAACGTTAATCTATTAATTAGTCAGATTACGCGTTCTACTCTGTCAACGTTAATATGTTAATTAGTCAGATTACGCGTTCTACTCTGCCAACGTTAATATATTAATTATTGAGATTACGCATTCTACTCTGTCAACGTTAATATATTAATTAGTCGGATTACGCGTTCTACTCTGCCAACGTTTATATATTAATTAGTGAGATTACTCTTTCTTCTCTGCCTACCTTAATTGCAAGATTACTCATTTTCTCTCCCTACTTTCATAAGTCATATTAATCATTCTACTCTGCCAACGTTAATTAGTCATATTAATCATTCTACTCTGCCTACCTTAATTAGTCAGATCACTCATTCTCCTCTGCCTTAGTCGGATTAATCATACCACTCTATTTACCTTAATTGGTCAAATAACTCATTATACTTTCCCTACCTTAACTCATTCTTCTCAGTCTATACCTTTAATTGTGAAATTTCTCATTTTTACCCAAAAATATAAGCACCCTGTAGTAAGGTAGGCTTATGTGTCTTAACATGGTTGCAACATTGTGCATACATTACGTGGGGCTGTGCAGAAAAAATACGATGCGATGATGCTTTTGCAATGATAATCACGATCATTTAAATGGCATCAGCTTCCAAATGACATTCAAAATACGCAATACTTTCAGATATATGCTTACAAGTATTTTCAGCCTTGCCATAGGAGCTTCTAGTAAAGATGGGAAGGGCACAGAAGATAAACTCCCGTTAAGGCAATACAAAAATATTACACTGTTTCTAGTCTATTATTTATAGTTTACTAGAAAAAATTTATGAGAAAATATAGGCAATTTTGCATATAATTTTTGGAGAAAAGGCACATTGATAAAATTTATTGTCAATTTATTTGAGTTATTAAAAAGTCAACATATTATTGTTATTGGAACGGAACATGAATTTAGATGTCACGAGTGAGACTTGACAATGGCATTTGGAAAAACAATACAAGACATCCTTTCTCTAGTTATTACAGTTAGATACTAGAATAGTATGCCGTTCGATGATTATACCTGCTCTGGGTTCACATATAGCTAGTCGGATTATAGGTAAATTGGATCGACAAATAAATGTTGCTTTATTTTCAGCAACTCAACGAGTTTGTAGAATCACCACTATACGGTATCTGTCATTTTCAGTTTTGAGATGATAATGGTTATATAACTAATAAAATGATGTATCTTAAAAAACGGTCATTATGGCACTTGGGAATATAGGAAGTTATTACCAAACTGACCAAGAGGCAGCAAAATGTAAAATGCGCATCTTTCCGCCATCTTGAAGGAAATGCTACGGAAACGACATTCATTGTCATCGGTTACACCATCGAGTTCATTAAATCCAACGAATCTTAGATTTTTCATATTTTCAAAAACAATATCTCTCTACATGCCATCATCATTATACTGATATTATGGAAGTCTCGAGGTATTATTGTATTTTATGTCATCGATAGAGTGATATCCAATCCCTTTCCAAACCCAAGCTTAGATTAAAATGTTTCCAGTCGACTTAATTTTAACAAAATGTAACACGGCATCAGTCTTGGTTAAGTGATGCCCCAAATCTGTTGTTAGATAGATAGATGACCATCTAAATCAATTTACTGCCAGATATATGGTACTTTTTAATTTCAGAAAATAAGCACGACAAGAACGTATAATTCTCTTTACATAATGTACTAATTGTTCCTTCATATGTTAGATCATTGTTTTGAAACCTGTCATTCGGTTCATTTATTTTTCAATTTTAATTGTATTTTCAAGAATGGATTTCTCCAAATTTTATGCAAGTGGTGACCTATTGTTACAGTCTCTAACTTTTTGGACGATGTTAAGGCGGTCGGTGTTCAGCGTCCGGTATTCGGCGGTTGTTGTTTGGAGGTCGGCGTCTGTGACAAATGCTAGATGGTGACATTTTGCATATTAATACCTTGTTGTACTTGTACTTAATATATTTAAAGTAGTTATATTTATTACTGTTTTACAGTAGACAGATGCTATGACTGCAATTATGCCCCAACAGGCTTTACCAAACACGTGACTTTCTGGAAGGCTGTAGGGGCTAATGCAGGCTTTTCTAAATGCTCACTCACCCAAGAAGAAGATGGAGATTTTCTCGACAAGTGGGCCTGTCAATCTGGTAGATGCTTCATTAGACGAGACCCTAATGGATGTGAGTATACTAGTTTAGGAATAACTCAAATATCGGTTGTCAGATTTTGTTGTTTGTATAGTGATGCCATATGGGCATAATAGGACTTTTCCTAGAGAAGGAACTTTCAATGTGTCCACTTGATTCAAAATTTTGGCATAGTTGACTTGTACAAATGTAATAATTACAATTTTGTCTATATTTTATGGGCTTTATTTACCATTTAGACCACTTTTCGAGAACGTTTTTCTTTCAATCTAACCGCTTTGTTCACAGTCCCTGTATTAACTAATGAACTTGAATGTATCTTTTCCAACTTTGGTCATATTAAAATGATATTTCATTGCAATTTCTTTCCAAGAGAGAATTTCTTAAATGGCCTCTAAATTCATTCTCAGAGATAATTTCAAACACCATTGTTTGTATTTCAGTGGTGTACAGAGGGTGTGCTGATGAGAAGAAACTACCTTGGGGTATAGATGTGACCACAAATTGTGAATACCAGGGTTATGGAGAGTCTAAGGCCCTCTGGTTCTTCTGTAATGGAGACCTGTGTAATACTGGTGCCTTAGGAGACCTGGACAGATGTGGAGTCCCCCCTCCCCCAAAACCATACAGTAAGTTACCATAGTTTCCAAGATCAAGCCTTAGTTGCCCACAATGGGAATTTTCAATCAATATGGATCAAAATGGGGATCAAAAAGGGATCATTCTTTTCCAATGGCTTTTGACGATTAAAGAATTGTATTGTATGGTTATATCTGAACTAATAAAAAGTGAAATCAAATTACCATGATACATTTGACATAGTGCATAACAAATACATGGTTCATAACATTAACGATATTTCAGATCCATGTGCCAAAAAGGACGCCTGTGCCAACAACCCCAGTGGATTGTTTGATGACATCACGCGTGACAATCATTTTATCCAATGTGGTTGCGATAGTGACAGTGAAGGAAATACATGTGCTTGTTGCAAGCCATTTTACTTTAAATGCCCATATAACACCGACTTTGATGATAAAACCAAAGTATGCAGTCTTCCTGCTGTACACGAGATACCCACAACTTTACCCGCAACAACTGAGGAAGCCAAACCTGTCGAACCCGCGAAACCCAATAAGCCTGATGAATCTGTCAAAGAGGCCGAGACATATGGATAAATCATATGTGTGTCATACCATGTAAATTTGACGTTTAGTGCTAACAGTTCAACTATGAACATTGACCTTTAAAAGAAATCCATGCAATATGGATTTCATCGGAACTCTGTGACGAATCTCAACTGAAAGATTGCCAAGTCAAACGCATTCTTTGCAAATGCACAATTTGATAGATTTTATCTAAATAATGTGTAGGCCATCTTCGCACGCTCGGTCTTCACTGCGTTCATCTGACCGACGGGAGCCGAGTGAACGAAGATGTGTCAGTAGGCTATATCATGCTTGATTTCATTTGGTTATACTCAAGAGGTAGTTCTTCATCCAAGGTTACAGATCATAATGGGTCTCGTCAAGAGATTTGACCAAGAACCCCCTGTACATTATCTGTTACGTTGAATAACATAGAATTAAAAAGTATAAACTAACCATTATTTTGAATTCTTGATTGTATATGTATTTGTATATCTTTGTTTTCCTTTTCATTTTATATTAATGGACCATGGAGGATTCACTTGGAAGCCGTTATTCAAACTCGATACTCCGTTGCCCGGCGAAGACCAGTTTGGTATCAATATCACTCATATTTTGAAGACTATAACTGCTGAGGAAGCTTGAATACCACGAAAATATTTGTAATGACCATCTTTCAAATTAACGATAAACTTGGTCGAAAGAGAACCTTATAGAAATATTTTTATTAAATTGTTCAACTACAGGGAACGTAGTATCGAGTTTGAATAATGGCTGCCAATCCTCCTTGGTAATGAACGGTAGAATAAAAAATGTTGAACTCAGTTTCAGCATCGTAAGGGCCCATACAATTTCTTGTTATGATGACTGGTTTCAAAAACACAACACTCTCATTATCCCGGTGATATATTCAATTGAACTTCTGTTATCTCTATCCATGTTGATAGCTCACTCGTATAACAGATCTCATCCTGAGCATCTGAGCCAAATCCCATTTTCCCGGGACTCATTTCATACGCTTAGACTTTTTCAGCGTATTAATTCAGAGTATACAGTGTATGGTCAACTGAGCAGAAACGTTATTGTATATCTGTATATAGTTCAAGAATGGAAATCACCTCCCATCACACCAAGACCGTCTTCATATAATGAATTTCAAAACATGCTTCGAATACAAAATGTTAGTTTCTAGCGTAATTAACTAGTAATCTTATCAGTTGTTATTCCACATTAAGATCAAAAAAGATGTAAGGAACCTGAATGTCAATTAAAACATCACATCATTGTGTAGTATTCTAATAGTAGTATGCTAATGTCATTAGTATGACAGCGTCAGTACCAAATCCTATAGGGCATCTTTGACAATATTTACTATCAGAGAGGTATCTATCCATGTTTTGCTTTACCAGTGAGTTATTTTATTAAGAACGTTCCGCTATCTGTTACTAAGGCACGGGAATGAACGAATGGCTTGTATCAGATTTTGTATGAAGGCGCGAGGCCGAATTCAGAGGCTCTGATAGAAAGACCAAAGCCATGGGTGCATTAAATGATTACATCATAGATTTTGTACTGTAAAAGAGAGTCAACAAGAAACTTTTTGCAGGTTTTTGCAAGGTTCGACCTGTTGATATTTTGACCTGCATAAGTACCTCCCTTGCCATTTTGTTTGATTCTATAGTTTTCACTCAAATGCCAACTTGGAATATTGAAAAGGATGAGGGTTCTAGGTTCAAAAAATATAGAATGCATATTCAAAAAAAGTAGTTTATCCACAATTGATAAAATCATCGTTGGAGTACTAGTAGTTTATTTTCTTTGGTGTAACGAAATATTTGAGTCAAAATATATTCTGAGGGTTTCTTAGCATTTTAACAGAAATAACTTGATCCCATAGCAGACAGATATTCCGCTTCCACCCCGTGAAATAGGGGTTTGAATAATGAGTACAGCTGGAAGCTTTCTTTCAAAAGATGAATGCAAACGATTTCCACATCATAAATCAAAAATGGTCAATACCAGGATGCAGTGATGACCGTTACCTTCTGGCTTTAGTATTCTAGCAATATCCTGCTGCACCCTGGGTATAGTCTGTCACGTGACTTCATGGATGACGTGTGCGCGAGTGATTCGCATTTTCTTTCGCTTGAGGTTTGTAATCACACTTTTTACATGTTTTAAGATTTTGTATCTCTGTGAAACTTGTCCCGTACCATCAATGTCTGAAGACGATCTAATTCACCAAATATCTCATCCAAGCGTGTCCCGGTTAAAGAGAAATTCGCACTTTTGTGTCTCGCAAAATGACGTGTGCGCGAGTAAATCGAATTTTACGAAGGATGGGTGCGCGAGTCTAAAATATTTTTATTCACTTGAGACAATTCTGCAAGCTAAGGCAGAATACAACTCACGTGACATTTGTTTTTGTCATCTTAAAGTAGTATGTTAAAGAATAGTTTGCTATTTTGTAGATGTTTCATGTATTGCACATACATGTCTACGTTTAATGACAATAAATGTTTTGAAATAGCTTGTAGGGCTGTCCGGCATTGCAGGTGAATTAAAATTTGAACCAAAAATTGAATTAAATTTTTGGCGGTCTCATAAAACCGGCAGCATATTCATTTATTGACATCCCATACAAGGGGGGGTCAGAGTTGTTATGTGGTTACTCGGCATCCGCCACGATCAGAACCATGTAAGGAATAGTAACACGCCCGGTGATCGTGAATATGGGACGGAGGGGGAGCAGGCAATTTCTGCTAGGAAATTCAACAAATCTGGAAGATTTATTTTTTCAAGAAAAAGTTTACCATTGAATTGCTAAATGGATAGGCGCACGGTATGGTAGCATATGTTAGGTTTTCTGTGATTTTTTCTGAAACGATACACATCTAAGGTATGAGATCTATTAAAAAAGGCGCAAGGCCATCAACAGGCACAAAGCAACGTTTTTGCTATAAATCAAGCAACAATGGACTACACGACCTGTAATAAATACTTGTAAGTGATGTTATCATAACTAAATTAATGTCATTGCTGAATTTATAAAATAAGTTTCCATACGTAAAATAAAAAATAATCGAAAATAATTAAAATGGGACGGAGGGGGGGGAGGGGACGGAGGGGGGGAGTAATAATTCTATAAAGTGAAACAACTTCACACGAATTCTTGTATTTGAAAAATGAACTCATTAACTTAGTAAGAAACTGGATGATATACCCCTGGAGACTGAAAAATGGGGACATTTGGAGTAAAAGGACTTAAAGTCGCGAAACATCTCTAATCATGTCTTATATACATATTGCTCCCCCCCCTCCGTCCCCTCCCCCCCCCCTCCGTCCCAAATTCATTATTTTCGATTATTTTTTATTTCACATATGGAAACTTATTTTATAAATTCAGCAATGACATTAATTTAGTTATGATAACATCACTTACAAGTATTTATTACAGGTCGTCCAGACCATTGTTGCAGAACAATTTCATGAAACGACTCATAAGGAAATTGTTTTTGTAACTGTTTATACATTTCATATGTTTTTAAATCACCTTGTAACAAAATCAATATTGTGTCTAGCTTGCAGAATTGTTTAAAATGAATATAAATATGTTAGACTCGCGCACCCATCCTTCGTAAAATTCGATTTACTCGCGCACACGTCATTTTGCGAGACACAAAAGTGCGAATTTTTCTTTAACCGGGACACGCTTGGATGAGATATTTGGTGAATTAGATCGTCTTCAGACATTGATGGTACGGGACAAGTTTCACAGAGATACAAAATCTTAAAACATGTAAAAAGTGTGATTACAAACCTCAAGCGAAAGAAAATGCGAATCACTCGCGCACACGTCATCCATGAAGTCACGTGACAGACTATACCCAGGGGTGCTGAGTGTAGATAATATTAAAACTTAGTCGCCGGAGAAATGCTACCTATAATATTGTGTGTGACTGTGAACGGTACAATCGGGGGTACACCATACGAAAGCTTCCCCGTGACGCAAATCGCCTGTTTTACGTATACGATTATGGAATTTTCAGGTGCTACTGAGAAAGGTGAGCTTTCGCATGATGGGATGACTTTTGTTTTTTTGTTTAACAATAAAATTAATTTATCATACAAAATATGATTTACCAGTACCGTTTATGTATTTCATAAGTTATAAAGTTACAGAATAATTCGAGAAATTAAAGATAATTACCTTTATTACATATCAAATTCTTATAAAATGTATTCTATTCAGTGTGTCCATATCATATATTAGATCGTATATTACCATGTGATTATCACAATGTGGTTATGGGATAATGAATGATATACTTGCTAAAAGCAATATTTACAGCAAAATGTTTTTCTCATCACCCAGTAAATGAAATTACCGTTGAGCTTCTGCTAATGGTTAATTAATAATGATGTCGTTTCACGATCTCTTGGGACACAAGGCATCACATCTAAAATTGATAAAAAATGTACGAGTATATTTCACGCAATTTGATTAGGCCTACACAAAGGTATTTAGCAAAAACTGTTGTGATAATCATGTGCTGATATTTTACGTTGTCTTCAAGTCATTCCATTACATCTACTGCGTCATGTGCCTACTTTGTTACTATTTTACTTGTAATTATAATAACGCCACACACAAAACATAAATGACATAACATAAATTCTTTAATTTCCCCAAAATATGAAACATATTATATTGCTAGCATATTGCTAGCAGATAACGTAGCCTACAGGTGGTATTTATAATTAGGATGTTATAATCATTATGATAAACTTGTTATTCTAGAAATTTAACTGAAAGTATAAAATAATAGAAAAATATGATTTATTGTTTATTTATACCCCATGCTGATGAAAGGTTTAATTTTTCAATTCAACTTCGTTTCCTCCAAACCTCCATGCAAACGGAAGCTAAATCCTTAAAGCTGTCACCCTACCCTTTCCAATGCTGTATTGGAAAACGTCTTTTATATTTCATTAAGAGGCTCTGATTTGCATGCATCCTCCGAACACAGGCCTCCAGAACTCGTACGAAGGAAGGAACTTTGTGGATGATGTCTGGAACCCTGCGTTCGGAGGATGATTTGCATGTAGCTAATGATGTTTTGGTATTTTTGTACTTCAGACCTAACTAATAAAAGCTTTTACATGTAATTATAACGCTTAATAAGAATTTGTAAAAT